AAGTCCACACATCTGAAAATGGCCAAGGTTGAGAAACTAAGAAGTACCGACCAAAACAATTCTCGCCGTTAAGCAAAAACTGACCAAGTTTCACCCTGAAAGACAGGCTTTTGCCACTCTGTCTGAAGTCCTGAACAGTCCCCTCCCTGCCTATTATCTGGGGACCCTGGAGACAACACCATTTAATGGATAAGGAATATAAATATTGTTAAATAAATATGAAATTTGCCAGCCTCCTCCCTGAAATGTGGAATGTCCACTCCACTTTCATAATCATAATCCCTGGCCAGGAGCATGAGAACTGAAGTGCAGACTACCTCAGAGCCGTGGGAGAGGCTGATCCGGGCTCCCCCAGGGCCTGGGCTGGGCCCTTCCAGCTGCCTTCTCGCCCCACTTACTTACCCATGGATAGCCCAAGTGGGTGAGTATTGTGTCAGTACGGCTTTTGCTTTGTTTTTAGCCTGACCACTGACTGCAGGGCAACGGGGAATAACCCCAGGGCAGCTGCGATTAAAGTAAAGCTTTGAAAGTTGGAAGCGACAGAGGAATTCGAGGGATTCACCCACGCAAAAGAGGGTGATCTCAGGGTGCCCTTCCCTGGGAGAAGACAGCCACGTACAGGACCAATACCCTCCCCACAGTGAGGCTATTTTCACAGAGGAAAGAAATGGAGAGAAAATGGATTTTAGAAATGAAACCACGAACATCCACCTATATCTCTGGTAAAGGTCAACCCACCCTGAACATCAGTGGCAGACCTGGGTGCAAATCAGCCCCAAAGGTCGCACTCTTTTCTCATCACAACTGGTCACTGGAGGTTACTTAATAAGCCTGTTGTGAATGAGGACTTAAGAAAGAGGAAGAAAACAAGGCTGGCACACCCGCCTTCTGAAAAGTACATGTTGTCTTCACATGTCACCAACAGAACGCCCCAGCCCTAAACAGCTGATACTGTGCCTACGCTGTGCCGATCACGCAGAGACGCTGCGGAAGCTTGCCAACCGTTCACCAAAACCCAGCAGCATTTTAAAAGCACCCCCCGAAAGGCCTAGCCCCACAAATAATTTTTAAAAAAAGAAACGGGCAGTGATCTTAAACTTCATCAGAAAGGAAAGGGGTGGCCCAGGTTTCTAGTCCTCTTGATGGCAGGAAAATGTGGACATCTAATCCTACGCCAAGGTTTCCCCTGCCTGAAGAGAAGTTAAGTGGTCAAGGGAATGGGATGTGATCTGGCCACCAGCTGAAGCCAAGATCCTTCCCCGCTACTTTTTCCCGTTTTCAGAACTTTTCAGTTTGCAGGTTGGGGACAAGCCATGAAACAGAGGAAGGAGAGGAAATCGCTCTTTGGGTAGTGCCCCTCCCAGGCCGACCTGTTTTTTTTTTTAATCTCCATCAAATGGTTCCTCAATAAACTTCTTATCAGACAGGCCCAAGGGCAAAGTCTGCTTCTAAAGGAACATTCTACAAAATTCTTCACCAAGCAAGATTCAGTTTCTAAGCTTTGTCCTCCCACCCCTGGACACAGAACTTTAAGGAGGAACACGTTTTGAGGCCTGAAGCCTATTTCTTTCAATGGGCATTATCTCTCCCCCACCAAAAAAATCCCTGGGGTGGGGGAAGAGCCAGTGTCAGTCCACCTCCTGTTTTGCTCTATGGTCTTCCCTGCAAGAGATTTCTGGCAGAATTCGAAACAGGCTTCCTCGCCAAGCCCACAGTCCAAGGTGAAACTTCCAACTTTCGCTCTCACGATAAAGGGACCGCAGTTCCCTCAGCCCTGCCCTACCTTTATTTATCCCACAATAGCCAATTCCTCTCCCAGATGAAAAGTTGAGAGGGTTCTTTTGGTTAAGGAGCAAGAAAGACGTTTCAGACCCAGGAGAGCCAGAAGAAACGCCAAGGTGCCACCGCAGCCCAGCACTTTCTCTGGCCCAGCATCCTTCAAAACCGGGAGTGACTTAAGCTTGACTCTGTTCTAGTTTTCCATTGGAGGTTTCGGCAGATCACTTCCCTACAGTTAGGAGGACCATCGAGGGAGAGACACCTTGCCATACCCTGCTCCCGAACAGCCTTCGCAAACGAGCAGCAACAGAGATAAAACTCTATTAGGGATTTTATTTTGGCTCAAATCAAATCCATAATAAAGTTGGCGCTCACGACGCTCCAATATCCTGCTCCAGCTATTCCAGGGACAGTCCATATTTGTCCTAACCTTTGGTAGGAGATCTCCCAAGTATTCTTCGTATTTTGAAACAGCTGCTGATACAGAGACCACGCCAAGACAGTGGTGTAACGTGAAATACTCTATTAGCCCAATGCCCTTGCTCGCACCCAGATCTCTCCGAGACTCAAGCCAGTGCCCCAAAATGTGTTCACATACAGCTGCCTCTTGCCCCCAGGTGCTTTCCAGATTGGACAGTTGACAGCTCTCCTAATCCACAAACCAGGGCAGGGACAGCCATGCATCATGGGAATTCAAGGGCTCCAGATAGGGAAAGGAAGCACTACGCTAACCAGGAGGTCTCCCAGGAGTTTACATCCTCTCCAGGGCTCTCCTCTACTTGTGTGGGCCTCTCCCTAAGGGGGAGAGGAAGGGAGAGAGATCAGCCTGAGTGGCTATAAATCCAGGAGCCCTTTTATCCCCCCGGAGAGATCCGGAGCCACGCAGGTGTCAAACTCTTCCGGCCTGGAGGAGCGACCGAAGCCCCCCCCACCTTCCACCCAAACACCCCCTTTGAGCCTCTGGCCCCGCCAAGTTAAAGCCACCGCCAACATGACACAGTCCAGGTAAATAACACAGCCCAAGAATGCACCTGGGGAAAGGAAAACAGCAATTAAACCTTCCGGAGCAAACAGGAGAGGTTTATGTTTAAAACACAGGCTGCCAGCCAAGCCAGCTGATAAAACACCACTGCCGACCCCATGCAAAGCAGGAAAATCTTTTGGATGGGCGAGTGACACCGAAAAACCCTTAAGCAGCTGGGGGACCTGGCCAGAAAAAGAAAACGCAACACGTGCTTCCTTCTACACAGGACAATCCACCTTTATTAACAGTTCGACAGGCTCCCCAGGAAAGCACAGCCCAGAACGCTGTGGATTTGTGTCTTCGCTTTTAAACTGACATTTGGGTAGGCCGGGAAAAGATTCTTCAAGGAGGGTTCGGCTCCAGCCGCGAGGCTTGCCCAGCCCGTCTCGCAAACAAACAAGACAGTTTGGCTCAAGGGGTTCCTCCCATAAGACTCTGCGCTCCTTCCCCGCTCAGCATTCCCACGCTTCGCTCCGCAGTGATCTCAGCGTTTGGAAATGCAAAGGATCACCCAGTTCCTGCTGGCCCTCCCCCTGGTTTGGGAGCGGCCGGCTCGGAAGGGCTCTTTCACCCCCCCATGGCCACGGAGAGAATGACATGGCCACCAAGCAACCGGCCCATTTGCGCCGGATTCTTTCACGAGCCCGTGAACCGGTTTTGTCATGACCTTGGTGTGGTTTTCAGTTCTGAGTGATCCTTGACATTCTGCCAAAGAGAGGAGGGCAGAACCTATCAAAAGGGCACAACAAATCATCGCGGCTCCTGTCTCATGGAGGCAGGTGTCAGTCATAGGTAGTCAAGGTAATACCTGAAGTTAACACAGGAGTAGAAACGGATATTAAAGACAGAGACCAGCAAAAAGCAACAGCTTTGCTCATACGCCACGCTATGCCACAATCTAACTGCGATTTGCCAAATTAGCCAAAACGAGCTGGGTTCGCGCGACTCGCTAAGCCGCCAACCCGCGTTTAGTAAACTACAGTGGTTCACACGGTTGGGGAACCGTGGTAGGTACCCCAAGAGGCCACACAACAGAGATCGCATTTCTGGGTTGAAACAAGGGTCATTTTATTTTCAAAGGTTATCACTCAAGTTTTCGCACCCGGCCCTTTTCCCTTTCTGCATCATAGCGCACCGTCCGGAATTGCTGAACACCAAAAGCCAGAGGATGTGAATTTCCCCCTAAGTAGCAGCTTTAAGCCCCAAGCTGGTTGCAGGAAGGACTAAGGGAAGAGTGGACAGGGCGTGCGTGATTTGTAGTAGCAGGCTGGAAGTTTGGAGAGAGAGAAAGAGTGTGTGTGTGCGCACGTTCATACTTTTTTTTGCATTTTTTTTTAGAAAAAAGCAAGCACCAGAAGATAAAGATGAAGACAATGTAAAAAATTATATATATATAATATATTTATATATATATATATATATATGTATTTATATATATATATATATATATGTATTTATATATATATATGCGTGTGACTCATATCTATTTACAGTATGGCTGGGACAAACTGCAGACTCGGTTGACGAGGCTCTACGGCTTCAAGGGGCTGGAAGCAGCACAGGGATTCGGAGGAAACAGCCACGCCTTGGGGAAAACAGGGAGAAATGGAGAACCTGCTCTGACCAGCACCAAATTGTCCAGTAAAGCTGAACATATGGTGGGATTACCAAGGATGTCCCGCCCAAGGGGGCCGAAAGAGGGGCGGCGGTCCCCACAGAGACGTCTCCTGGGGCTGCAAACATCCCGGCAGGTCAGAGGCGGCGGTCAGAAGCTGCCTCCTGTGTTGGATGTTGCGACCGAGCGCCGCAGGGAGGGGAAGCACCCAATTCCTCAGACGTAATGCAGGGTTCTGCTCTTTCGGAGACAAGGCAAGGAATGCAAACGGAGGGCAGTCCTGGGAGGGGAAAGGGCAGCTGGCAGGCCTCGGAGGAAGCCTGCTGTGCTTGGAGAGTTGCTGGTGCTGCTGTTCTAAGGGAGCTTCGCTGCAGAAACCGCCCTGTGTTCCAGGCCGCACAAACTCCCCCAAGGGGGCTTGTCCTTGCCCAGACTTCAGCAAGCGTCCCGCTCCTTCTCTGCATGCTTCCTGCAGGCCCGTCACACAGCCGGCCCGATCCCACCGAAGTGGCCCCCCACAGCCACGCCCAGGGGGACACCATCTTGCGAGAGCACCTGTGAGGGACTTGCAGAATTCCAAATGGGAACCTGCTTTACTTGGGCTGGAAGGGGCCAAGAGGATCCCGCTTATTGTTTTGCTAATTATTCTACTGACTGAGTTAAAACAGGGTGGGAATTGTCCAAGCCATTCTAAAGGCTCTTCTTTTTAAGAGAGGAAAAGAAGGTAGCGCGCTCTCACGCTGAATGCCGTGCTGCGAATCGAAGCGGGACGTTTCAAAGGCCAAATATCCAGTCATCTAGGGAACAATTCTTTCCAGCACCTTCAATTCAGAATCCAAGGCGGTTGGCTACTGCAGCAACTCTCTTCCTCCCCACAGAATACCCGTCCGAGCCCCTATGATCTCGACACAGCATTTGCTTACAAGCGGCTGGCCATCCCCTGTTTCTAGACTCTCAAGGGAACGGAGCTGAGTTTTCGAGGTGGATGTGGGCCAGGTGTCCGCCCCTGAGATGCGACTGGCCCACGCAGCCAGATACGGAGCCTGCCTCGGCAAATATTGCAGTGCTGGGATCGGCCTGCCATTTGCAGCGAAGCTAGAGTAGGGCCCAAGAAGCAGCTACTGGGCAAGGTGGCTGAGAATGCCATCCGCGCCATGCTGTGCAACTCCAAACTTTACATGCTCCGTACCCAAGAAGATCCCATAAAATCTCTTTTGCCTGCCTAAGAGGATTTTACATCCAGGACCAACCTCTTCAAAAAGGGTTCCACGCAGGCATGTTTACGCTACGTCGAAGATCCATGCCAGCCACAGTCTGCTCTCGGAGCCATGGCAAATGGGGAGGGGGGGAATGGGGAGAGACAATTCTATTTGGTTGCGTGCCCCAACCTGAGGCAGGGTGTGGCTTGCCCAAATGCATGGATTGGCGCCTATCAATCTCTCGCTTGGAGCTTCTGCAGGCGCAGGGAGGATTGGGCCTGGCAGCTGGTATCAAACAAGATTGCCCAGAAGAACCTTTAGGTTTGGAAGACTTCTGCCTGTAAGCTCCAAGCCCTGGAAAAGGGGCTTCTCCGGGACCACAGACAACGATCTTAAAAGAACCCTACTCTTTCTTAACTAGTTTTCTAGAAATAAAAACACAACACGGGATTGTTGCGATTCTGTCCGTAAAGCCCTCTTCCCTCGAGATGAGGCGGCTTACAGATGTTTTGGACTGCTCTAGGGTACCCAGCCCATGGCTATGGCTGATGGGTCTTGTCCTAAACGTATGGAGGGCAGCAGTTGGGTAAGACTACCCTGTAGTGTCATATACCCAGTACGTATCCTTCTTAACCTTGCGCCTGCATCTCTCAGCTTTCTCTACAGCCTCATCCTCCTTCCAAGCGCATGATAAAGGACTAATCGACAGGACAGCATCTGCAGTCTAGAGCAAAGCAGGTTTCAGCCCCAGAGAATCCATGCACAGCCTGCCTGCCCACAGTTGCAAGAAAACACACACCAGAACGGCAAACAAGTCCATGTCTCGGCTTCTGGCTTTGATTAAAGATATCAGCCGCGGTAAAAGTTCTGTGTGTCCCAGCTCTATGGTACAGCAGAGTTCAGTCAGTCTGACAACAGAAAAACAACCCAATTCCCCAAACCCCAAAATGGAAAAAAAGGAGAGAGAGAGAGAGAGAGAGAGAGAGAAAGAGAGAGAGAGAGAGAGAGAAATCCCATCAGGAGAGCAGGTTACCCTGCCAGCTTGCTGGTGACGAGAGAAGATTTTCTCTGTGGGAGATCTTGAGGCGTGGGGATGTGGTCGCCGGTCACCAGGTTCTTGTCGGTACCTGCAGCTGGCAGCTGCTTGTTCTTGATTTTGGCTTTGGCCATATTGTAATCTCCAGAGTCAAAGTACTTTTGCTGGAAGGAGAAGAGGAAAATAAAAAACCAGGCCTTGGATGGAGAAGCAACAGGTGAATTCAGCCCGAGAAGAGGCCTCCGTTTTGCCCACCAAGGAAAACACAAGCCGTTCAGCAGAGACAGAGGGTTTCGAGGGAAGCTAGGCCTGCCTAGATACCATTTCCTCCTCCTCCTCTCCTGCCGCCCCTCCACCACGTATGAGGTGTGACCTCCAATCCCGCCCAACGGGTGGCCTGCGGTTTCCCTTAGCCCATCTAGCCGCCCACCAGGGCTCTCTCCTCTGCTGCTTAACACACACCCTTGTGGGTGCAACAGAGGGAACTGGTCTTGTATGGTGAGGGCTTTCCCGGGAAACAGCGGAAGCTCCAGAGAAAGCAATTGGCCTCTTCCTTTCAATGGGAGAGTTTTCCACTGGGTGTGCCCTGCAAACAGACACCATGGATCTTGCTGAGATGCGCTTCCAGCCGGCCTTTCCCAGATGCCCCAGGGAGCTCGCACCCAAGCCAAGGTAGCCATGCCATCCCACCCTAGCAGCTTCCAACCTTCAGCCACCCAGTTGGGAAGAGACTCCGTGTCTGTTTATCACCGTTGGAGGGCGGCAGCTTCCTGCCAGCATTCTTTCCCAGAGGGCTCCTGCTTTCCAGGAGAAATCTCGGGGGGCTCACCTACCCCTTTCTGCAGCCTCTTCATTAAGAAGTCAGAACCCCCAGGCTTCTGAAGTCCTATGTTGGGGTATTTGGCTTTCAATTTGGCCTCCTCCTCCTTCTCGGGGATGCCTGCTTCCTTCTCCTGCGTATCCTGAAAGAAGGCAGGCACAAGAAATCAAGAACAGCCACTGAGCCTTGCAGGAACAGAAACAGCTTTATAGTTGATGACAACAGGATAACAGGGAGTCACCCTGGGCTCTGAAAATAAAGCCTGCATTCCTGAACTCTCCTCCACCTCCTAGAAACATTTTCTTTTCTTTAAGCCACAATGGCTGACCTCCATGCCAAACCCTGCCTCTAAGATAACTCTGTGGAAAAGATAGAGCTGATATTGAAGGAGCCTTCCATATTGGAGGAAAGACACCTATAAATGAGATCAGGATTCTCACTTTCTTCATGAAAAAAAAAAAAGCTCAGATTCTTCTTCTCATTACAATAGCTTGAGCTCATCCTGGCAAGCCAAACTGTCATTATTTACAGAAGATCGTTCCCTGAAATTGTCATTTCTCCTGCTGCTGCCAAGCTGGATGCCCTGTAGGTTATTCTTGCTTGAAACTGAACACTGCCCATCCCTTCCAGGTTGAGCCTGGCAGAGATGCCAGTCCCTAGCTGTTTATTTGGAGCAACGAGTAACCTAAGCTTGATGTGCCTCATCAGGTGCAACATCTCTCTGCCTGAACTGTAGGACTTTGGGGCAGAGAGCTCAGTTAACCGCATATGGAAGTAGGCAAGGGTGATATGCTGAGTAGTCTCTTACCCCCAGACACCAGGAGCAGGTTCAGACGCATTACCTAGAATTCCCCAGGCAATTCTGGGAGTTGAAGTCCACCCAGGCTGGCTGGGGAATTCTGGGAACTGAAGGACACATGTCTCAAAGCAGCTGAAGCTGAGAAATACTGCTCTGGAGTACCACGGTGCCCTCCCTTCAGAGCTATACTCAGCTTCTTCATCACGATCACCAGAGCCTCCACTCAACCAAAATCCCTGCTGGCATGTCGAGACCAGGCGGGAGTTGACAAAGGCCAGCCAAATAGTCCCGAAACCCTGCCTCCAAGGCAGACGATCCAGGCGCACCCCTTCCTTTCCCAGCACGGCCCCCAGATGGGGCAGGAAAGCCTCGCCCTGCCCGGAAGTGAAATTCTGGGCGAGCTCCGTTCCGGGGGGGCGGAGGAGGGTCCGCCTTCTCCGCATCGCCAGGGGCTTCTCCTCCACCTGGAGCCCGGCCGTCACCGGGGCGCTCTCTGGCCATCGGCCCAAGCGGCTGCTCCGACGACAGCTTGGGGGTCAGAAAGCCCCCAGGGTCCACTCTGGCTAGTCAGCCGCGACCATCCCCGCCGGAGCCCGCTTTCCCAAGCCGCGGAGGAGGGAAACGAGAGCAACCGGCATCCTGGGTTCCCGTCCAAAGAGCGTGCGGGGCTACCCCAGAACCCATCATGCGCTCCCCAAGGAGGGGCTCCCCTTCACCGGGCAGAAAGGTCGCCCTTTTCCCGCAGGAGGAGCTCAAAGTCGCCCAGGCGCTCTGCACCGCGGGGCCCATCATCCCCTGACACGCCAGGCTGGGAGAGGGTGGGAGTTGTAGTCCGACGCTTGCGGGAGACGGCAGAGGCAGCGCGTTTCCAGGCGGCGGCTCGACTCGCTCACCCGCGCAGGCCTCATTCAAACGGGCGGATGCGGCTTCCCCCGCGTAACTTTCCTCGGAGAGCGCAACCATCATAAAGACGAGCGGGTAGAGGGAGCCCAGGGGGCAGCTTCCAACCGGAAGTTCAGGCTGCGGTTGCCCGGGCTTGCCCCTCTCTATGGTCCCAACGGACCGAACGCCGTACAGCCGTCGACCAATGAGCCCCCGGGCATTCCCCGGGCAGAGCCAATCAGGGGGCAGCCTGGCGCTGAGCGGCGGAGCAGCGCACCAATCAGCGCTGCCCCTTCCACACATTCCCCCCCCACCAGCGCTGTTCGGCCCCTCCCCGCCTTCACCTGTTTCTCGACGCCGGTCTCGTCGGAACGGCTGTCACTGCCGCCACGCGTGTCAGACATGGCGAGGTGCGAGGAGCCGAGCGGGGCGGCCCGAGGAAGGCGAGGGTAGAAGCGCTGGGGCCAGGCAAGGCCGGCGCCCTCTTTCCCGCTCGCCTGCCCCTGTCAGCGGAGAGCCAAAATGGCCGCCTCCTCCTCCGCCCCCTCGCTCGATTATTTCCCGCCCACGGGGAGGAGCGGCT